TGGGTGGGTTTCGAAGACGGTGGAGCTAGATGACGTTGAATGGCGCGTTGTACACATCGTGGGCGTGGAGTTTGCCATCGTCGCTGATTAAGCCATATTATGCTGTTGACTCGTCGTTGTGTGAGCCCTAGGGCGACTATCGCATCATGCGGAAGAATGTCTGCGATATCGAGGATGAGCTCAGTCGGGAGGTTGATGAGCTGTGCTGGTGTCGCGGGGATGTCTTCTTGTACGCTCGGCAGAGGTGGCTGTTGATGCTTTGTGGATCTTCGTGATCTGAGGATTGGAAACAGTCGCAGGAGGAGGTCGATGCAGTACGCTCGCGCACAAGGCGAGGCCATTTGCGTAGCCATATCGGTGGAGTCATTCACACTGTATAGCCACCGTTGTGACATTTCACGTCCGACTGTAAAGGCGAACAGCGCCCGTCCGTCGAAGGGTGAATTCGCTGCTAATAAGGGATCCATGATTTCGCCTTCTTTCCAAGAGCCGTGTCTCATATTCATGCGTGAGGTGGGCGTTGCGCTTCATCATGTGTGACGGGCTTATCGGGCGTATATGTTGCAAGGGAGGATGAGTGGTCATGTCGGAGGTGTGGCTGATGGCTTGAGTGATGCCTAGACTCATGATCGGTGGCAGGCGCGTGATATCAAGAAATGAAAGGGGAAAGAGCGTTGGATTTTGATGACTCGAAATGTGTGATGACGATGGAATGGAACGGACAGGGTGACTGAGCGGATAGGCGAAAGGAGAATACATTCCTCAGGATGACGTGTGCAAGGCTTACTTTTGGAGGCTATAGCGCAACGGCGGAGTGTAGGCGAAGTTGGCGAACTACAGAAGCTGGGGTATGCGGGAGCGCAGGCCTAGCCGAATGGGTTGTACCCTTGTCTGTGTTGGTCGGTTCACGCACGTGCCATTTTGTTATTGCGCATACAGTGAGGTGTTTTCGAGCGTCGGCGGGCTTTGTATAAAGACTTGTGTATCTGGAGACTCGGCAGCGCATTCCGACCCCCCACATCGTGGATGGGTACTGACGTCGCATATCAGCATGCGAAGCTCGGCGTGCATGGCGTTGCTATCTTGACTTTGTTAAACCTCATCTGGAAACAAGGCCGGCACCGACGTTGGCCATCTTGGTCTTCTCTGAGCCAAACGGACTCAGGCGACAACCACACCGATGGTAGGAGCATCATCTCTCTGATGGATGTGCATGTGCTCAGATGGAGAAGCAAGCCACAATTCGATATTTTCACGAATGTCTGTCTTTGGTGGGTGCTTATTGGAGGCAGCCCACATTGCTCGTCCGATTGCCCCGCATCACAGCCCAAGCGCTTCCACATGGTGCGTGATGGTGGAGGGCAGTGATCATGCTGGCAGCACGGCGTGGCATGCGTCGGCCTGGCAGCCATGGATTGCTGCACTCGCGGGCGCACTGGCGGGGCACTGCGAACGCGAGGTTCGCAGATGAAGGCCACGACGCAGCTGTAGATGTCTATGGGAGGACGCAGACCCTGAGTCGGTGTATGTCAGGGCCGTGACAAAGCCAGAGCGGTAGGGTCCACGTGTAAAGGAGACGCGCGGGGCTTTGTTGCGAATAGCCGACGACAGATAGGGTGGTGAGAGCCCGAACGACGGTTGCAGGTTCGCTAAACGCGCCCGCTGCTCGCACTGCATATCCCGCAGTCCTCGACGACGACATGCAGCTGCCCCTCTCGGACGTCATCCGCCAGCTCTTCCACTTCGCCGACCGCTGAAGAGCCGTAGAGTTGGGCTTCCAGGACAATGGCAGCCACCAACGCGAGGCTGCGGCGTCCGTCATACGAAGTACGCGGTTGGACCAGGACGGGATGGAAGGCATGTCGAACTAATTGCATGCAGCTGGTGAGGCCCGTGTCGTCGAAGCGGAGATGAATTAAGTGGATAGGTCGTTGCTCGGCCTGCTTAGCGCGAGGAATCCAGCATCCCCTTTCGCCATGTCCTCACATTCCCGCGATATCTCCCGAAGTCCCTCCCTGACCCCTACCCGCTCTCAGTTGTGCTTTTCCTGGTGCCTCACTTGCTGCCTGCCCGGTGAACAGCTGTCGCTCCTTTTTCGCGGTGAAGGTGAGTTCACGGTTCACTTTTTTTCGGTACGCGGCACGACCCTATGTCCAAAACATCTCCGCTCTCCACCAAAATTTTCCGCTGCCCGCCTCGACCTCATTTCCCGCCCCCATATCGTCAACACGGGCTGCCGCCGACCGCCGAACCTCTTGTTGCCGAACCTCAGTCGCCAATTGCTGCGTGCCATTGCTGGACCAGAACAACCGTACTGACCAGTGTACTCAGAATATCTAGACTAGTCCCGCCCACGAGCCCTTTGGCGTTGCGCAACTACCCCGACTCCCACGAAGCCACCGGACTGCCTCTTGCCCGCCATGTCCTACTACAACGACGCGTCGTGGAACACACCCGCTCCCGGCCGCCAGCAGTCATGGGAGCAGCCCCAACCGCCCTCGCGCTCAGGTACCGGCCACATGGGATTCAACGGCGCAGGTGCAGCGATTCACATGGATGTAGGCACAAGCTCCACAGTCAACAGCGAGGTCGCCAATGCCTTTGCTTCGCAGTTTGAGGGTACGTAGTTCCGGCGGTGGGGTCTGTCAGAGCCAATGCGACCCGACATGGCAGTGACAGGCCCCGTCGCAAGCATAGGCGAGGCAGTGCTGACCAGTAACCACAGAGGTCGACCGCGCCATTGAGAACCTCAGCAAGAGCGGCAAGCCCCTCGGCCCCGGCTTCCCTCCCACCCCCATGGGCGCCAACCGCCGCGAGTCGATGCCCATGATGGGAGGCGCGCCCCGCCCATACCCCGACTTCGGTACACACTTCTGCCCACGCATGCCCCTCCACACCACTGACATGTGACACAGAGCAGCAGCGCATGGGCGGCCCCCAGCGCCACCACTCGGTCAGCGAGTACGACGGCTCCCGCTCCCACTCGGCGACCAATGTCCAGGGCTTCTACCAGAACCAGCGCGGCTATGCGCCCCGACCCAACGACGCGGACCAGATGGCACAGGCGAAGCGACGGATGGCGGCTCAGCGTGAGCGTGAGCTGCGCAACTATCATCAGGAGCAGCAATACCACAGAAGTAAGGACTCGGAATCTGGGCAACAATAGGCAGGACAGTTGGTTGACTAGGGTAATACAGACGTTTCAGGCTCAGGCTCCAAGTCGGACCGCTCCATGAGCCCCAATGCCATGAATGAAGATGAGCGCCGCGAACTCATCGCCCGCCAGCACCGTGCTTTGTATGGCGAGACCTCCACCCTGTACAACAGCAACCCCACCTCGAGCCAGGATGTCCGCGTTCAGACTTCTGCTGCCGGCCGTGGCCCCTCTCCGCTCGCCTTTGACCCCTTCGGCATGCAGGCCCAGTCCGGCGAGGGCTCCGTCCAGATGCCTCCCCGCGACAAGGACGTTACTGGTGGTGCCCAGGATGCTCGTGCCAACAGCACCTCTTCGCCGTCCGGTACTCAGAACCCCGCGTTCAACCTCTTCGATGCGCAGCAGGCGAACCGCACTTCCAACTCGTCACCCGGAGGCTCTCCTCCCGTGCCCGGTCAGAAGGCCAATGGCTCTGGTGTCGCCCCCATCGGCACTCGTCCCCAGAACCAGAACCTGCAGCAGCCAGGTGGTGCCGCCCTGGGCAAGCGCGCAAACTCACCGCTGCCGTCGCCTCTCGGCTACAACTCGTACAACGCGAGCGAGCAGAACAACATGACGACATCTGCTTCTATGAACCCTTCTTCTACTGTCACTGACAAGGGCGTTGGTATTTGGAACAACGGACCCTGGAGCAACACCCCCACCCAGGGAGTGCAGGCGTCTGTTTGGGGTTAGAAAACGGAGTTTTGATTAGGGAGATAGGATGCACCTCCGGAGTTACTGCATTTCAGGTGTCTCGGGCATACTGTGTCGGTCTTTCAGATACAACCATGGGTGGAGCCGGTCAATTGGTGGTCGGCGAATATTTCCTGTGGGTTTGGCGGCGCACTTGCAGCATGCTCGCCTACGTTCCACATCTCTGGGTCTGCTGAAGATAATATACCTCTTACGGGCGGTTACATGGGTGTTTGCTAGGCAAGGTTAAGGGTCGGCATCGGTTTACGGGGCTTGCGGGAGTTTGCTTAAGGATGACTTGCTATTACCGGTTGCTAGCTTTCGGATCTGGTCGAGGGCATCTACATCATCGAAAGTGGGCTAGGTCCTACGCTGATGATATTGGGACGCTATCTGGCCTGGTATATCAAACGGTCTAATGGGAAAAGTGGCTTGGGACGAACCATCCTTTTGGTGAACATGCTTTGCGTGATGTCTCCAGTGAAATTTTTCACACCACCGCTGTGTTTATGTACCTGCCCGTTCGGAATAATCGCTGCCGTGGTGAAGGAGCTAACACGTGACCCTTACTAGCGGCGTTCTAAGCGAAGCAATCGAGGTCAGGGTTAGCGCGGCGCGGCAACCCCAGCTCCAGAATCGTGGCCTTTGAGAGCCGCCGAGCGACTATCACCAGCTGCTTGCACAACATCTTCCATCACAACCACTCCGTCCATCTCGCACCGGTCACCGTCAAAAACACACATTATGGTCAGTAACACCTTCCTTGGCGCTATAGACGGCCATTGGACACACGAGGACACCTGGCTGTCGTTCCGGAGCATGCGACAGGAGAGCAAGAGCATGAGGACATGTCTCAGAGACTATTGGACTGGTGTCGCGTGCTGTCACTTCTCGAGCTGTCTGCTATCCGTTCAGACGTCATGGTTTCTCGATTCATCCAAGAAGCCCTGCGACAATACCCTCATGCACAAGCCAAACCACAGAACACCAAGATCATTGCTAACATGGCCGATAGTCTGCTGCACGCGCTACCTCCCCCGCCACGGGCTCTACGGGCTCAACAACCGCGCGTCCTGCGTCACCAAAGCCCCCAGGTGGCCCCGCGACCGTTATGCGCAGGAAAGCTGCGGCTGACCGCGCCGAGAAGACCGCGAACCTGCGACCAAGCAGCACAAGGGCGGCCGGCGCTGGCGGCAGCTCAAGCACTATGCTGAGTAAGTGCACTCCGAGCTGGTTAGAGGAGGAGGATGTGTAGTAGAATGAGCTGCTCAGCTATGCTAGCAGCGGATTTGGCATGCGGCGGTTGGCAGAGATACAGCTGTGGGACATTGGCTAACATCCATTTCCAGGGCTATACACCGATGAGTCCCCCGGTCTGAAGGTCGACCCCGTCGTAGTCATGACCCTGTCCGTTGTCTTCATCTTCAGCGTTGTCGCTCTTCACGGTACGTACACCGGAACCTCCTAGTTCGGTATCAATCTAACAGCTCCAGTCATCGCCAAGGTTATGCGTCGATTCTCCGCATAAACACATCTTCCCAGATGCACCCTTTACAACATTCGACCGATTCCCCCTACGTTGAGGTGGCCCTCTACTACGGCGACCCCAACATTTCTCACAACCTCTGTTTGCGATTACCCGTGTTTATTTCCTTATCATCTATTCCCGATCGTTGGGCACAAGCATAGAAAGCATGGGACGAACCGTAAAAGCATTGTATCAGGATATCATCTTGACCGTTGACTTGGCAGGACGATGGAAAGCTCGTATGGCCAAGGACTGCTAGTTTTGCTTGCTGTATTATAGGTCCCCATTGGAATCAGGAGTTTTGACAATGCGTTCTTATTGATGTCTGTTGAACCAATCCACCGTGATGGAACCGGCAATAGCTGAAGTCTGGGGACCTAATAGGGAGACCGTCAATGCAGCTGAGATGCGCGCTTGTGTCCTTCTTTCTCACCATCACAGCACATACAGGCAATCTTCAACTCTCCAGGAATTTCGGACATGTTGCTAATAAGATTCTTCAATCCACAGGGCTTTCTATGTCATAATGTCATATCTGTATTCCTCTTCTTTCCGCTGCCAAATTTCCCACAGAACCAACGCAAACTACAGAGGGGTATTTTAAACTCATTTTGAAGCAAACCATCCACCCAAACAATGCAGCACAGGGCCTACACAATACGGCTCGCCCGATCAACTTCGATCTTAAACTCCTTCTTCTTTCCAATCACCAACCTAGTCCCAGACTTGGAACCATTCCCCCCAGACTCCGCAGCCTTATCCAACTCCTCCCTCGTAATGCTCAAACTCCTCTCTCCGACCCAAACTTCCGCTTCATGCCCACGATACATATGCGTAGGACGAAAATGCTCATCCGCCGTCATAAACCCGTGAGTATGCCCCGGCGGCGACGCTCTTGTCGGACTACTGGATTGCATCAATTCAAGACCATGGGAGCCGTCTTGATCTCCCAGGGACTGCTTGCTCGCCCGCCGACTGGGCAACGTATCCATGAGATACGATTCCGAGATGTTATCCGCCGACCGCCTATGATGGCCATAATGTTGATGGTGACCCATCATCTGCCTCCTCGATGGCGGTAACATCCCACTCGAATGCGTCGTCAACGCACTTTCCATTCTCGACCTCCCCCCACTCCCACTCCCACTATGCCCCTCTCCATACTGCTTATACGTACTACTCACGTACTCCTTATCAAACGGCTTCAAGAACGGACCCATTCCCGTTATCGTACTCGACATAATCGCGTAACCCATCTGCCATTGCGTAGCGATTACATAGTCGAAAGTGAAGTTTGACCCGCTAAGTCGTAGGTCCAGGTAGTAGAGTCGAATTCCGGCGATTGCGATCACCGGAAGGCGGGCGGAGAAAGCGAGGATTACGAGGAGTTTGGCGAGAAGGCGCATTTGGAGGGAGTAGATTAGGTGGACTGCGGCGAGGAACATTAGGAGTTCGGTCAGGATGTCGAAGGTGCCTATGCTGAGCCATTTTGGCCACTGTGGTGGTGCGTTAGTATGTGGATGTATTTCATCGAGGAAAAGAATGCGCCTAGTCGCCTAGGATAGTCGACTTACCCTGTTCGTACAGTTGCCCGCGTCTATATATGTTTGCGCAGGGTTGCATGGTATAGCAATCAGGATGACGGATACCAGTGCCCATAGACAGGACAGTGCTACGAGCGACCAAGATGCTATGCGATGAGATCCGCCTGGCGATAGCCGTAGGTACAGAGAAAGTACTGATAGCTTCGAGGCGAGTATAACGAAGATATAAATGATCTGCGACGCGAAACCTTCCTGTTGGTTGTTAGACGCGGTTTCCCCAGATGTTCGGCGGTTCACTCGGTCGCGGCTGCCCTGCGCGAACGCCAGAAGGAAGCAAGGAGCCGACACCCACGCGCGGATCCAGAGGGTCGCTGAATCGCCAAAACTTAAACACCACGTACATTTCCAAGTTGCTGCAGTTGCGGCAGCGGTACTCCGACTTGTGAGGCTCCTAGGCCTAGGTTGACGAGATGGAATATGATTCCTGATTGTACCGTGTCAAGCAATGTTGCTATCGCGAGCCACCAATCTGCACACACGCCATCAGCAGAACGTCTCAACTCTGAGTACAGACCGACTCTAGAGCACTTACCATCAGATCGCCACTCTCTCGATTGCAGGCGCAACCATACCCGGATCAGAAAACAAGACCAGACAAAGGCCAAAACAGCTGCACCAGTCACCACAATGAGCCCGCGCTTGTCATCCGCAGATATAACGTACGGCGGAGGAATCACCTCTCCAGCCATCGAGCATCAGGGGAAAAATTGAAGAACAAAGGTACAACAGAGTGGCGGCCATAAGATGACAGGCAGACAGATTCCACGGCAGTTGTCAGAGGGCGACCCTTTGGGTTCTGTACCGCTGCTCCTGCGTCTGACATGTACCTATACCGCCTGTGGTTTGCACAAAGCCAGCCCAATGAGAGCTCGCGCGGACGTTATACCGCCCATGTCACTCCCTTCACGTCGTCCTCCCTCACCTCATCGCTTATTGATCAGGACCGAATGCGACCCATGTACACGGGTTCACGGGAGATCTTGTTGAAGATGGCGTCTGATGCTAAGCGAGCCATGACCAAGTACTCCTAACGCATAAGGGTCTCTTCGTCCTTGTATGTGCTACAGTGGCTGACGCCAACAAGGCTCGGCGCCCGGCGGAATGACAGCCGCATGCTGCCATACGTTGAAATGACATTCAGGTAGCTAGCGCGAAGAAAGCGGTTTACTGAACGGTGGGACAAGAAATTCTTGTGAAAGTTTACCGTTCCCTCGGGTTTGATGAGCTCGGCTACCAGCATGACTGATTTGAGAGTTCCTAGGTAATATCCGTTCGAAGCAGCAATACGGTTACAGAACGCTACAAATCTACAAATCGTACCATGACTTACGAATCATACCATGATCAGCATTCGCTAATCTGATGTTCACCCTGGCTTCCTTCAACCTCGTAAGGCTGGAGAAGGTCCAGAACGAATTTTTCCGCTTCCCCTAGAGAGACGTTTCCACCTCTCACGGGCGTGTCATCTCGGCGGATTATCTTTTCCTACACAAGCCTGCGGCAGATGCAACTACATGTAATCAATGTACGACTCCTGCAGCAATAGCCTACGGCCCAGCCGCGGCAAACCCCCATATAAGGAAGCGGGCCGCGTGGTGTCGCGCTAGCGGCAGGGATAGTGGCATCTGGGCGGACAGGACGTCAAACCATTCATGGCAAGTCGGAGGGCCACGCACTGTGTACCGCCACGATCTTGTTGGTTGACATGTGTACCGGAGTGTATCTGCACCATTGGACCCTGGCTCCGCTCGAGAAGAAGAGATGCCGGGTATGTGAAGGGGGTTTGGGTCTAGTGCACCCCACTTCTTCGTGGAAGCGGCAGACAAGGCATTTCGCAGCGGCTGGACGAGCCCATCTCGCCAGCATGCATGTGCACGCCATTTCGTGTGTCCGTGTGGGCAATCCCTTCTTCTTACTTACCATCGCACCGTTTTCGCTTGTTCGTTTGCGTTTGCTGTTCCTGTTTCTTGGGTCTCATTTTTATTGAGGCGCTGCGTTCCTGCATATCTGAAGGCGCGCATCTGGTTATGGCTGCTTACGAGGCTCAGCCGCTTGGCAGTATGGATAAGCAGGCGACGTTGGAGTCGCGGGCGAATGCGTCGCGGTCGTTGGATGGGGATGAGAGTCAGGAGTATCACCAGTCTCTGAGGGGTTTCACGAGGGCTGATCGCGCGGATATGGAGCGCATGGGCAAGGTGCAAGAGCTGAAAAGAAATTATCGGCCGTTGTCTGCGTTGGCGTTTACCGTTATCTTGCAGGGTACTTGGGAGGTGCTTTTGACGTACGTTACCTTGGTACTATGGATGTGGACTAGGGACTGACAATATCGTAGTGCAACATACCAAGGCCTTCTCGATGGAGGCCCAGCAGGTCTTATCTGGAGTTTCGTCTGGACATGGTTCGGCTTCAGCACTGTTATGCTGTCGCTAGCAGAGATGGCATCGATGGCACCGACTGCTGGTGGCCAGTACCACTGGGTCTCCGAATTTTCGCCTCCAAGCGTCCAGAAGCCATTCAGCTACTTCATCGGCTGGATGTCAACACTATCATGGCAAGCCGGTACAGCTTCCGGACCTTTCCTCGTCGGCACCCTAATCCAAGCCTCTGTCATCGTCATGTACCCAGAATACGAGCCCACCAGCTGGCACGGAACGCTCATGGTCATTGCCGTGACCTTCTTGGTCTGGGTCCTGAATATCTGGGGCTCAAAGGCTATGCCTATTTTCCAGAACGTCATGTTGGTCGTTCACGTATTCGGTTTCTTGGCCATCATCATTGTCTTCTGGGTTCTGTCGCCACGGGCTACTGCTGAAGTGACTTTCACCCAGTTCAAGAATGGCGGAAACTGGAGTTCAACTGGCTTGGCTCTTATGGTGGGTCAGGTGTCAGCCATCTATGCTTGCATCTGTAAGTCTATATCTCTACCAAGCGTCATCGTTAAAACATAAGCTAACATCCAATCACAGGCTCCGACTCCGCAGCCCACATGGCCGAAGAGATCAAAGATGCCGGCAAAACCGTTCCCCGCGCCATGATCGGCGCGTACCTCATGAACGGCTCCCTTGGAATAGTCTTCCTAATCAGCTATATGTTTATGATCACCGACGTCGACGCCGCACTCGCTGAGGACTACCCGCACATGTGGGTGTTTGCCCAAGCCGTCAACTCTGGTGGTGTCGTAGCCCTCAACGCCATTCCCACGGTGCTCATCTTCGCCGGCACATTAACTTTCAACTTGTCGACTTCACGCCAGACCTGGGCTTTTGCTAGAGACAAGGGTCTTCCCTTCAGCAACTGGATTGGCCATGTCGATCCAAAGTTGGAAATTCCGGCGAATGCTGTGACGGTGACCTGTCTTATTACGGTTGCGCTGAGTCTGATCAACATTGGCTCGGA